GGTTGGCAAATTCCTTGATATCTTGTAGTGGAGTCTATGGAAGCCAGAGTTTAGGGAAGGGAGAGGTCTCAGCTGAACAGAATGCCATACAGTCCACCCTCCAAAGCAGTTCTCCAGGGGGAGAAAGAGATCTGTTGTTTGGAGTTCAGTTGTGTTATACCAGGCGATACCACAGCCAGTGTGGCGTAGCAGTTAGCATTTCAGAGCAGGGTCTGCAAAACCCAGGCTCTTGCTGTGGAAGATGAGTGGGTGATTTTGGAACAGTCACAGACTTTTCAGCCTAACCTACCCCACAGGGTTGTTGTGCAGATCAAAAGGGGGAGAGGAGAATGATGTGAGCTGCTTTGGTCCCCACTGTGGAGAAAGACTGTACTTTTCCTCCTTGGGACCATTGTTGCCAGTCTCCAGGTGAGGGCTGGAGATCACTCAGAACTGCTCTTCAGGTGGCAGAGATCAGTTCCTCTGGAAAAAATGGTGCACTCTGTGTCATTATACCCTGCTGAGGTCACCACAGCAAATTAACACTGAATGCCCAAGGCCAAGGCACTTGCCCAGAGGCTCTTTCTAGAGCTTCTTGTATTTATTTCCACAATGGGCCTTATTCAAAGTTCAAGAATAAATTGCAAAAAAAAAAAAAAGGAAAAGCCCTTACGACAATTAAGATCCTTTGCTGTGATTCCTTCTTTAAAATTCCTTGAAATAAACAATATAAATTTATCAGTAGAGAATAAAGATCTTCTGGTTTATGGCGACACACAGGCAGACACATCTCCTGGATGTCCTGGGGATGTAAACTGCACACCAGCATGTGGCAGGGGGTCCGACGGGTCGTGACCCTCCCGGAGCCTTGGTAAAAGCCTCCCAGCCAGGGGGCTTTTGAGGAGCGACCTCTTCGATGGCCGAAAGCCGGAGAATTGAGGTGCCCCTCTGCCCTGAAGGTCCTGCCACTGAGTGACCGTATGGTACAAGTGCTGCTGACCGGGACAAGCATTGGAGATCGGGCGAAATAAATGATGACGAGCGAGACCGAATGGCCAACAACAAACTGTGAGTCGGGTTGATGCGAGCATGAAAATATAAAAAGAAGCTGCCCCCCCCCTAAAGAGCAATGGGAAAGCAAGTGGGGGAGGGATTCCTACCAAACGCATAGATGAAACACGGAAGGAAAGAGGGGGGAGCAGAAAAATAAGTGACTAAAACTGTTTTAAGAGACTTACCAGAGTGCAGGAAAGTGTTTGGGCGAATATCAGAGACTTTAGCAACTTTTTTGAAAAGTAAACAAATTCAAAAAGTTGGCGGGAAAGAAACTGGAGAAAGAGAAGCTCCTGAAATCAAAATTAGGGGCCAGTCCTCGAACGGATGAGGTCACTGAGCTCTCAAAACTCTTGGCTGACTCCCTGCGCACCCTGCTGGACGAGATCACTGGCATTAAACAACTGTCAGTAATTGGGCAGAGTATGGCAGCGCAGCTGATGCAACTGACGCAATCCTTAAAAGCTATGGATCCACAAGGGTTAAGCTGACACTAAATATTATGAAAATACAAAATTTATTCAGGTGTACACATTTTAAAACTTAGACTCATTAAAAATATACCATTCAGACATAAAAAACTTCTCAACATTCATACATAGATGGGTTAGTGCTGTGCAACTGAACCAAACGCGTTTCGGCCCCCCCAAAGGGCCTACTTCAGTGGTCACAATTCCAATTACAAGTTTGACATACATAACCCTTGTGGATCCATAGCAACTTTTTGGGTTGAGTTTTCTCCCCCCCCTTTTTTCCCCTTCCCCCTTCCCTTCCTTTTTGTTTGTAGCAATCCTTAAAAGCAACAGAGCAAATGGGAGAGAAGGTGAAGGAAATGGACGTCACTACTAAAAAAATTAAGAAAAAGGTGCAAAAGCTGGAAATGAAGCCAGCTACAGAAGAGTCAAAGCTTTTACAGCTACGAATGGATAAAGCAAATTTGGTCCTATGGTTTCAAGGGGTCCCGGAAATTGAAGGAGAGAATCTGAAGCAACGGCCGAGTGAAGCAATAGCCCCAATGACAGATTTAACAGTGGAATACCTTTGCAGCGAGATGGATGTGGTCTACAGGTCCTATTCATCGTACATTAAGAAAAATAATCTGGCTTGGGAAATAGTGGTCAGATTCTCGAAGAGACACGTAAGAGATGCTATTTTGAAAGCAAATTCGGGAACAGTCTTGAAAATTGGGGGCAATAATATCAGGATTTTAAAAGATATTCCATTTGATACAAGACAGAAGAGAAAGAACCATAAAGAATTAATCCTTTTCTTACCAACAAATGGCATCAGTTGCAGGTGGTTAACCCCAGAAGGCGTCATTTTCAAGATTAATGATAAAAAAGAAAAGATTGACTCTGTTTTTAAAGCATGTGAATTTCTGCGGACACAGCTTGAGGAACCAGAAGAGGTCAAAGAGGAGGAAAAAGAAAGCAAATCTGATGACGAGTTGGGCTCGGGGTCTTCGGACGAGGACTCCCACTCTTAAAAGTGGGCAGCTGCCCCCAAAAGCCCTTATAAACGGAGGATTAGAAAAGATAAAAATAAATAAGGACTGAAGGACTCTGATTTGTGCCTGAAAAAATGTTGAAATAACTTGGGGATGCTCAGGGAATTTCTTTAAACGATAATTAATCTAACACAACCGACTAAGTTCATTGTATTATTAGTAGCTTTTTGAAAATAGCATGGTGTTAAGATGATGTATGATCTCCTACTCTTGGGTTTTTAGTTAGTTGTGGGTCTTTTTTCTTTATTCCCTAGATGTAGTTCCCTTTCCTATATTTTCTGTTGTAGTTTTGTAGTCTGAAAAAAAATCCAATAGGGGGAGGGGGAAAAAAGAGAATAAAGATGACACACACACACACACTTCTCCTCCTCCTCCTCCTCCTTCCTCAAGGGATTTGGAGGAAAGATCATGTAGCTGTTTGTGGTGATAACACTTTTGCCCAAATCTGACTAGAAATATCTATCTTACCTGCGGGTTTTTGGTTGTAGTTTTTATTATGGACATTTCTATATTCTTTACTTCTTACACTATATCTCATGCCTCCCCTAAGGAGTTCCCCACTCTCTCCTCCTTCATTTTGCCTCCTTTGAGGCAGGTTAGGCTGCAAGAGAAGAAGAGAGCGAGAAGCAAGAGTGAGACCGGCCCAAGGTCACCCCATGAGAGGATTTGAGCCTGTGTTAGCCTGATTGCTCTGAGTTCTTATCAGTTTTGGGGAATATGAGGTATATAATAAATAGCAATAGGCAAAAAGGGAGCAAACACCTGTATATACAGAGGTCCCGCTTCTTCCCGAGATACTGGAAATAGACACAGAGGCTGGCTTCAGTATAAAATGTTTTCTTTTTACTGGAGATTCTTCACACACAAACAATACACATGCACACACACACACAATTAGATAGACAATCAAGAGATGTTCGCATAACAGTTCACTGTGCCTATGGGCGCCGTTGGTTAATTTTGGAATGGGAGGGAGGCACTGCTTTACATTGTATCTAATCTATAAGGCACACTTCGGAATTCTTTGGGTCTTCGAGAGCGGTGGAGTTCCTTCTCTCCATCACATGATAACTTTGAGAGTACTCGTTCCTTTCCAGCTCGTGCATTGGCGAGCTCGGCCGGGAGGAAGGAGCCAAATATACATAATAGGGAGGCGCCCCCCCCACCGCTCTCAAGGAATCATGGGTACAGTACTTTTAAGTTAAAATTTCATTTTTAAAAGCACATCATGACTTAGGATACACAGAATGATGACACTGCTTAAGGCATTGCATTTAGAAGATCTAATTTACGTGGTATAAGGCATGGAAAGACAAAACTGTAATATGGAATGATGCTTCTGTGTAGCCCGTGCCTAACGCAGAGAGGCCAAACCATTCTCCCCTTTGGAGGGGGAGGGTCTTCTGATCCATACTTTGAGCTCAGGGGACTGCACTCCAGGATTCTCCTGCACAGCTTTGGCTGTGTAAGTATTGAGTTCAAGGAAATGGATCAGGAGATTGTCTCTCCTTTTAACTGGGGCCTTTTCGGCTCCAAGGGGGACGCTGTCAAGGTGTACCCCTTTTTAAACTGAAGGCTTCCTGTGGGAGGCCTTTAACTATTACAGTCAAAAGAATAGAACCAAGTACAAAAGCACAAAACCCTTCAGGAAGATCCCCAATGGATTCTTCCTGGGATGACTGACACATACACAGGCCCTGACAAGGGAGTACACACTGTTTGAATGGTGCATGCTTTTCAGGGCCGGGAGTTGCTATGTATCCAAATGCATAAACTTCTATGCATGATGGGTAAAACTCTTAATTTAAGAAAAACTAGACAAGGATGCACATAAATACATTTAAAAGTTAGATTTCTAGAAAAGAATTGTAATGTATTCAGATGCTGCCCTGAATGCATGAGGAGGTATGTGAATCCTCCCATAGAGAAGCCATGCAAAGCTTCAAGCTTCGGCAGGGATTCGCGCCGAAAAGTATTGTGGCCAATCAGATTTGAATGAATGTAAGCGGGACCGCTTATGATTGGTCGTTCATGCGGTCAACCTGATAGGTTGGTTTAATGTACAGTAGGTGTGGCTACATTAGCCGGAATGCTTAAATACCGAGCAGCTGAAATGGACAAGCTGTTCGGGCTATGAGGAGTTGTACCGTGTCAGAAGAAGTCGATTGAAGAGCTGAATAAACTTGAGTTTTGCTGAATCACTCTCTGACTATTATTGTTAAGCACGGACTTAACAATTGGCGACGAAGGTGGGATCCAGGAGCGGGTAGGCAGCCCCGCTGGTCCCGACCCAACGACGGACAACCAAGAGCAGCAGCTCGTCGTGGCAGAGCAGCGACAGGCACCACCAGCACCGGTGGCAGCGATCGCAGCTATGGCCAATAGCCCGAAGTTCGAGGCATTCGAACCAGCGACCGAGGACTGGGATGCCTACCTGCTGAGGTTCAGGTTCCACCTCGAAGCGAACGACATCACCACGGAGGAGAAGAAGCGAGCCACCCTCCTGAGCTCTTGTGGCAAGAGCGTGTTCGATGTCGCCAGGTCTCTGGTGGCACCAGCGGACATCGGAACAGTGCCGTTCAAAGAGCTGACGGAGAAGTTGAAGGCACACTTCTCCCCGCAACCGTCGGAGATCGCTAGCCGGCACGCGTTCTTCAAGAGGAACCAAGCGCCCAACGAGACGGTGTCCGATTTTGTAGCGGCTCTACGTAAAGCGGCCAGACCGTGTAACTTCGCCGACGTAGAGGAGGCCCTGCGAGACAGGCTGGTGTGTGGCATGCGGGACGAGCGGCTTCAGCAGCGCCTGTTCGCAAAGGCGAAATTGACCTGGGCCGACGCCTACAATGAAGCCATCGCAGCGGAGACAGCGGACAAATCGACCCGTGAGGTGCGTCAGCGTCTGGCTGCAACAGAGCTACGCGTTCACCACCAGGGGTCCGAAGGAGAGCGTGAGGGCGCGGCTGAAGACGTCTGCGCTGTGAAAGGGCCTGCGAACCAGCGGACCCAAGTGAGGACTTCGCCCACTCCTCCTTGCACCGGCTGTGGCGGCAAGCACTCCAGAGAAAGCTGCTGGACCAAGGACGTCGACTGCAGAGCATGCGGAAGGCGGGGCCACATCGCTCGTGCTTGCAGAGCGCCAAAAGTTTCAACGCCCTCAAACAAGCCCAGGTAGCAACGTTCCCGAGCCGCACAGCATGAAACCAGCTGCCAGGTCGTACGATCAAGCGCACCTTCGGTCCAACGAATCGGAGGCACCGGCAAGATCAACGTGACGGTCCATCTAGACGGCGTTCCGTGCGGTGTGGAGGTCGACTCGGGATCGTCGGTGACCGTGATTTCGTCCAAGTCGTGGCAGCAGTTGTTCCCCACCAGGAGTCGTCGCCGGCTGAAGCCAGCAGACACACAAGTGTCCGACTTCCAGGGCAAGCGTATACCTCTGGCAGGGAGGGATACGTTTGAAGTTGAGTTTAAGGGGAAGCGGGCGACCCTTTCATTGTTGGTGGCTGAGGGGAACAGAGTGAATTTGCTGGGGCTTGACTGGTTTGAACCGTTGGGAATTGCTATTTCTGGCATTAATAGTGTAACGAAGAATAAATGGGCTGTACTGTATAAGGAATTTACTGATGTGTTTGGGGGTGGCCTGGGAAAATATACGGGACCCCCAGTAGCGTTTGAACTTGATCCTGCCGTGAGGCCGGTTCGCCTCAAGTATAGGAAGGTTCCTATTCCTCTTAAGCCCAGAATTGAAGCAGAGCTGGACAAGCTCATCGAGCAGGGCGTGTTAGAGCCAGTTCCCTTCAGTCGGTGGGAGACCCCCATTGTGACCCCTGTTAAGCCGGACGGGTCAGTACGCATCTGTGCTGACTACAAATGCACCATAAATCGGGCATTGCAGCAGCACTCGTACCCAGTACCGGTAATTAGCCATGTCTTGGCATCGTTGGGGGGGGGGGAAGTTTTTGCGAAGTTCGACTTGGCCCAGGCTTACCAGCAGCTCCCCGTGACCAAGGAAGCTGCTGAGGCACAGACCATTGTAACACACAGGGGGGCGTTCAAAGTAAACAGGCTCCAATTTGGTGTGAACGTGGCCCCAGGGATTTTTCAGGGCCTCATGGAAGGGCTGTTGAGGGGGGTACCAGGGACGGTCCCTTATTTTGATGACGTTCTCATTGCGGGGAGATCCGATGAGGAACTTATGCACAGGGTCAGAGAAGTGCTCAAGCGTTTCCGTAAGGCCGGATTGAAAGTAAAACAATCCAAATGTTTGATAGGGGTGGATAGCGTGGAATTCCTGGGGTTCAGAGTGGACCAAAATGGCGTACACCCCACAGACGAGAAGGTGAGAGCTATCAAAAATGCCCCTTGCCCCATGAATAAAAAAGAGCTGCAAGCCTTCCTCGGGCTGCTCAATTTTTATCACGCCTTTCTCCCCCACAAGGCGTCCGTGGCGGCACCTTTACATGCGCTCCTTCACAAGGACGCAAAATGGCGGTGGGGTGCTGAACAGAAAAAGGCGTTTGAAGGGGTGAAATCATTGTTGTCATCAAATGCAGTGTTGACCCATTACGATGACCAGAAATTGTTGGTTTTGGCCGCAGATGCCTCTCCTTATGGGGTGGGGGCGGTATTGAGTCATGTACTGGAAGACGGACGGGAGGCCCCCGTCGCGTTTTACTCAAGGTCGCTATCTGAAGCTGAGAAGAACTATGCTCAAATAGACAAAGAGGGACTGGCGCTGGTATCAGCAGTTAAAAATTTCACGATTTCTTGTATGGCAGACATTTCCTACTTGTGACGGACCACAAGCCGCTGCTTGGGATCTTTGCCCCGGACCGGCAACTCCCAAGCATAATGTCTGCCAGAATGCTCCGTTGGGCCTTGTTTTTGTCGGCCTATGACTATGACCTGGAGCACCGGCCGGGCAAGGCCATCGGACATGCGGACGCATTAAGTCGTTGCCCGCTGCCCGGCCGAGATTTGGACCCTGCGCCAACGGCCTCTGTGTTGGCCATCGAAGAACTGCCGCAAGCACCCATCACCTCCAAGGACATTGCCGCTGCGTCGGCTAAGGACAGTGTAATGGCGGGAGTTCTTAACTGGGTTTGGAGGGGGTGGCCGATGGGTGCTATGGAGCCGGAATTTCGCATGTACAAAGCGCGCCAAAACGAGCTGTCTGTGTCTAAGGGCTGTTTACTGTGGGGAAACCGGGTGGTGGTGCCTCACTGCCTCAGACAAAAAGTGCTGAAATCACTCCATGAGGGCCATCCAGGCATGGTCCACATGAAGGCACTGGCCCGTGGTTATGTGTGGTGGCCCGGGCTTGATGCGGAAATCGAGGATTGGGTCAGAGTGTGTGAGCCCTGTCAGCAGGCTAGGCCTGAGCCGTCAACCGCCACTCCGCAGCGTTGGGAGTCGGCGGGAAAACCTTGGTCGAGGCTCCACCTAGATTTTGCGGGGCCAGTTCAGGGACAAATGTTCCTTATTATCGTTGATGCGTATACGAAATGGTTGGAGGTTGCGCACATGCATTCCACCACTTCCGGGTCTGTCATCAATGTGCTGCGGCGCCTGTTTGCGACCCATGGTATACCCGATGTATTGGTCAGTGATAACGGGACGCAATTTACATCTATGGAGTTTGAAAAATTTCTGGCTGATAACGGAATCAGGCAGATTACATCGGCCCCATTCCACCCGGCTTCGAATGGCCAGGCGGAAAGAATGGTAAGAACCACCAAAGAAGCACTGAGTAAATTGGTTTATGGTGACTGGGGGGTAAAGCTAGCTTCGTTCTTGCTCAGACAGCATGTTACCCCTTGTTCAGCAACTGGCCGCAGTCCGGCCGAAATGCTGATGGGCCGGAGGCTGGCAACCCTATTAGATAGGTTGCACCCGGACCTGAAGTACCTTAAACCACCACAGCAGAGTGAACAAACGAAGGTACGCATATATGAGAAAGATGACAAGGTGTATGCGAGAAATTATGCCAGTGGTCACTTGTGGCTCCCAGCCACTATTGTTGAAACTGTTGGGTCCAGAATGTATGTGGTACGACTTGCTGATGGTCGCAAGTGGCGTAGGCACATAGACCAGTTGAGGCAACGGTGGGCGACTGACCGACCCAACGCGTTGCCAACTGAGTCAATAGACCCCGAGGACCTTCCGAGACCTCCCCTGGAGGCGAGTGCTGACGGACCTGAGGGCATCAGCACTGTTCCCGAGGCTGGGCAGACCCCTCCTCTCGAACTAAGTGTAACGGATGGAAGTGTTCCTGGCTCTGAGGTCCCAGAGCCAACCGAAGTGCCACTGACGGAATCTAGCCCTGAGCCGAGTCCACCAAGACGGTCTCAGAGAACGAGACGTGCACCTTCCTACCTGAGCGATTATGATTGTTCGTAGTTGTTTTTGCTTAGGGGGGAGGGAATTGTAATGTATTCAGATGCTGCCCTGAATGCATGAGGAGGTATGTGAATCCTCCCATAGAGAAGCCATGCAAAGCTTCAAGCTTCGGCAGGGATTCGCGCCGAAAAGTATTGTGGCCAATCAGATTTGAATGAATGTAAGCGGGACCGCTTATGATTGGTCGTTCATGCGGTCAACCTGATAGGTTGGTTTAATGTACAGTAGGTGTGGCTACATTAGCCGGAATGTTTAAATACCGAGCAGCTGAAATGGACAAGCTGTTCGGGCTATGAGGAGTTGTACCGTGTCAGAAGAAGTCGATTGAAGAGCTGAATAAACTTGAGTTTTGCTGAATCACTCTCTGACTATTATTGTTAAGCACGGACTTAACAGACACTTCAACCCTTAGCACAATGTCCATGGGGCTCAAGTTTGAAACCAGATAAACCATGCACTATAACAAAGGGTGGATTTGAGGGGTAGGTGGAGCAAAACTCGGGCAGATTAAACCATGCTGAGCGTATGCTTGGTTGAGCTCAGAGGGGCAGTATACATGGATTCTCCAGCTGCTAGACAGCTTGGACTGCACACCTAATGTTCCTGCTCAATTGCCTTGAACTCAAAAACCTGCACAGCCAAAAACTCTCAGGAGGAGATTCTCCGTCATCCAGAGAATGCTCCGCTGTCGGTATTTGGCAATATAGCTTCTTGAGTTCGGTAATGGCGTCAGGAGTCCTTAGTTTAAACAGCAATGCCAGATGGCTGTTTTGAAGTGTTTCATGTGTCTAGGAGCACATCTGGAACAGGGCAACCTCGGGAACCACGGGCACATCGTCTCAGGCTCTTGCTGGCGCGTGTCTGGCATCACAATCTGGTCACCTTACATCAGAGTCCCCTTTGTACATTTTACACACAGTGGATTTATGTGCATAAGAGAGCACAAAGCTCCTTGCTGGGCAACACCTGGGTCTCCCGGGCCCTAGTTTAGCACTCTAACGACTACTCCACCATGTATATGGTCATGAAATTAGTCATACCAACTTACTATAATGAATTTCTCTACAAATTCTCTACAGATTTATCTATAAGGAACATTTGCTTTACTTTCCTGTTCCATGTCAATTTCATAAGGAATGCCCCTAAATTCTATCTATCCATCCATATGGGGTGCAGAGGAGAGTGATGAGGATGATTGGGGGCCTGGAGACCAAGCCCTGTGAGGAAAGGCTGAGGGACTTGGGAATGTTCAGTCTGGAGAAGAGGAGGCTGTGGGGGGGGGGGGACATGATTGCTCACTTTAAGTAATTGAAGGGCTGCACTTAGAGGAGGGCAGGGAGAAGAAGAAGAAGAAGAGATTGGATTTATACCCCGCCCTTCACTTGGAGTCTCAGAGCAACTTACAAACTCCTTTCCCTTCCCCTCCCCACAACAGACACACTGTGAGGTGGGTGGGGCTGAGAGAACTCTGACACAAACTGCTCTTTTTCAAGGACAGCTGTGCCAGAGCTTGTGACTGACCCAAGGTCACATCAGCAAGTGCAAGTGGAGGAGTGGGGAATCAAACCCGGTTCTCCCAGATTAGAGTCCACGCACTTAACCACTACACCAAACTGGCTCTCACACCAAACTGGAACTGGGAGCTGTTCCTGTTGGCAGCAGAGGAGAGGACTCGCAATCATGGGTTTAAATTAAGGGTGGGAAGGTACCAGCTGGATATTAGGAAAAACGTTTTTACAGTAAGAGTTGTGCAGCAGTGGAATCAGCTGCCTGGGAGGTGGTGAGCTCCCCCTCACTGGCCGTCTTTAAGCAGCATCTGGACGAACATTTGCCAGGGATGCTCTAGGCTGATCTGGCATTGAGCAGGGGGTTGGACTAGATGGCTTCCAACTCGGTGATTCTATTATTCATCTATCCACTGAGTGATTGATTCCACAAAGAAACTCAGGGTGACATGCATGGCTCCGTCCCCATTTTATCCTTGTCAAGTAGGTGTGTGACTGTTCTTTAAAGTCACTTAAGTAAAAGGTAAAGGATTCCCTTGCTTGAAAGCCAGTTGAATCCAACTCTAGGGGGTGGTGCTCAGCTCTATTTGAAAGGGTATCACTTAGAGGAGGGCAGGGAACTGTCCCTGTTTGCAGCAGAAGACGGGACTCACAATTGTAGTATGAATGGGAATATAAAGATTTTCATATATAGGTTTTTTCCTTCTTGATTGTTCATGTTTGTATTTCTCTGGTTTTTATAGATTTGTTCTTTAAGTAATCTTTTATTAGGATGTTATAAAGGCCTGTTATATAGAAGGCTTTCCTCTTGTAGGTCTGATATTGTTAGCAGACAACATAATAGGTACAAAGTTCATGATTCTGTAGTTCATAGGGCAAACCTTTCAATGTCTGGGTCAGATAAGATTTTAGTCTGATATGAAGATTCCTTGCCCATTATCATTTAGGTTAGGTTAAGTAAACACTTGGTTTGACGTAGATATATGTTTCTTTATATCTGGCCAATCAGAGGATTATTAATCAAATTACCACTGTCTTTTGTAACCAATTATGCTGTTTGAATATTGTTTTCTTGATGATGTCAGTCCATGTATAAAATATCATGTATTTCCTGGATATGTTCAGAATATGCTCAAGAAGAAGATGAAGAAGAAAAAGAAGAAAGTTGTCAATTTTTGGTTAACTGTTTGGTCTAATCGTTTTCCTATTAATTGAGGCATTTTTCCTGAATATGCTGAGAAGGAAGCAGTCAGTTTTGATGGGTCCTTTGGCCTAACTGTTTTCTGTATTTCATTACAATAAAATACAAGAACTTCCTCCTCATTTGACTTCATTTTTGACATGGAATCTAATATGTACAACATGCTGTTCAGCATCTTAACCTCTGAGCCACCACAGCTCACTTACCAATCTGCAAATTTAAATCCTACTCTCTATTTTATTATTTATTTATTTATTTAGTATCCTGCCCTTCCCACCGTAGCAGGCTCAGGGCGCCTTACAGAATATATATATAAACATTAAAACAAGACATGTTAAGAGAGAAAAGTTAAATTAAAACCATAACATATAACATTTAGATTACAAGGCACATAAATATTAATAAAAGATGGTGGCGTTCTCTCAGCATCGGGTGGTCAACTAGCACCATAGTCTGGGTTCTTGCCAGGCTGTTAGTGGTTAAATGAGTGCTGATATTGGGGGGGCCGGGGCCACAATATTGAAAGGCGGCACCCTAATAGAAAGCCTGGTGGAAGAGCTCCGTTTTACAGGCCCTGCGGAACTGTAGAAGGTCCCGCAGGGCCCTGATGTCATCCGGGAGCTCATTCCACCTGTAAGGGGCTGCCACAGAAAAGGCCCTGGCCGTCGTCACAGCTGGCCTAGCTTCTTTAGGGCCTGGAAGAGCCAGACGGTTTGGGGACCCCGATCTTAGTGCTCTCTGGAGAACATAGGTCCCTGACCCTATAGGGCTTTAAAGGCAAGAACCAGCACATTGAACTGAATCCAGTATGCTATGGGCAGCCGGTGCAGTGCTTTTAGGGCAGGCTGGATGTGTTCCCGCACAGGAAGACACAACAACAGCCTCGCCACTGCATTCTGCACCAGCTGCAGCTTCCGAATTTGGGACAAGGGTAGCCCCATGTAGAGAGCATTACAGTAGTCCAATCTCGAGGTGACCATTGCATGGATCACTGTTGCGAGATCATTGCATTCAAGGAAAGGAACCAACTGCCTGATCAGCCACAGTTGGTTAAAGGCAGACTTTGCAGTGGCTGCTACCTGGGCCTCCATTGTTAAGGAGGCATCCAGGAGCACTCCCAGACTCCTAACCTCCGGCGCTGGTACCAGTGGCACCCCATCGAAGGTCGGGAGAGGGATCCCTAACCTTGGCCCGCTCTGACTCAGGCACAGGACCTCTGTCTTCATTGGATTCAATTTCAGTCGACTCAGTCTGAGCCAACCAGCCATGGCTTTCCACGCCAGGTCCAGATCTCCTGGACTAGAGTCTGACTGGCTGTCCAACACTTCATCTTGTTCCACAACCCAACACTGGGTGAAGAACTGGATACTCAGCTTGACCTGAACGTATGAGGAAGGACTGCTTTAAACCTGTTTCTCTGTTTTGTTTTGTTTTTCTTCTTCTTCTTCTTCTTCTTCTTCATCATCATCATCATCATTACTACTACTAGTAGTACTACTACTACATCATAAATTACAATTGTTTTGTTTTTCTTTGCCCCAGAATCCTTCTCTGAGTTACCTGGTTGCCTTTTTAAGAAACCAGCCCTGTTAGTCTCACTTCAGGGTATTCATACATCGCACTACATTAGTAACACTGATTCTTCCCATTTGTTTTTGATTGGATAAGCAGCACTGAGATATCAGAGATCCTGTGAGTGGCTGCGTTCTGGGTGCCTAATCAGTGGGAGCAAGAAGCATCCTTGTGTATGGTCTGGTTTACAGGCACACATTTCTCCACTACACCGTCAAGAGATAACGTGTGTGTGTGTGTGTGTGTGTGTGTGTGTGTGTGTGTGTGAATGGGCACCACTGGCATACTTACAATTCCAACATTCCACAGAGGAGCAGAGAATGAGCCCAAGGCAAGGC